ATTGCTGAAGACAAATGGGTGCATAAGCAAATGTGGCGAAGAAAGCTGAAGGTGCCCGGCTATCAAAAGATATAGCGTCTGGGGTCTTAAAGGTTTGAAAGTAAACAAGTGCCATCTAGCTCATAAGCAACACTTCCACATGGAAGAAGCACACCGGCCTGTGCAATCACGAGGTGTCGAAGGGATCAGGTATCAGGCATCATCAGAACCAAAAATCTTGCCATAATGAATGGGGGTGTGGGAGTACAGAGTGAAGACATAAAGCCCATTTGTAGACCACTGGATATCCCCTTACAGAAGGGTCTTGGGGAGGAGATGAGCCAGTCAGGGTGTGATGTAGCAACGATGAAAAATACAACTTTCCTCTAGTTCCTAAATGCTCCCTCCACCCCCACCCCCCACTATCATGATTCCAATGCTACATTGCAAGTCTGCTAGACCAGAGGATGTACACTGGGACAGATAGGAACTGGAAACACAGGGAACCCAGAGCGGGTGATCCCTTCAGGATCAGTGGTGTGAGTGGTGAGAGGGTGGGAGAAGGGTGGGTTGGAAAGGAGGAATCGATTACAAAGATCTACATATAACCTCCTCCCTGGGGGACGGACAACAGAAAAGTGGGTGTAGGGAGACATCAGACAGGGAAAGATATGACAAAATAACAATTTATAAATTATCAAGGGTTTATGAGGGAGGGCGGAGTGGGGAGGGGAAAAAATGAGGAGCTGCACCTTCTCCACACAACCACTGAAGATAAAGCGGGTGAATAAGCAAAATGATGAAGAAAGCTGATGGTGCCTGGCTATCAAAAGGTATAGTGTTTGGGGTCTTAAAAACTTGAAGGTAAACAAGTGGCCATCTAGCTCAGAAGCAACAAAGCCCACATGGAAGAAGTACACCAGCCTGTGCGATCACGAGGTGTCAAAGTGATCAGGTATACGACATCATCAGAACAAAAAATCTTACCATAGCGAATGATGGGGGAAGTGCAGAGTGGAGACCCAAAGCCCATTTGTAGACCACTGGAGATTCCCCTTGCAGAGGGGTCTCGGGAGGATAGGAGCCAGACGGGGTGCAATGTAGCAACGATGAAAAATACAACTTTCTTCTAGTTCCTAAATGCTTCCTCCCTCCCACT